ATAAGTTAAATAACATGATGCAGCTGTCATATTTTCACATCACTGGTGTTTGCTGCTATTTTTTTCACACATACTGAAAAAATGTCCACAGCTGTATATTGATTATTTATTCTCCAGATGCAAACTATTTATACTGTAAAAACACTGTACAGTACAGTGCTATTTGTTTGTTTTCTTCTGTAATTATTCTGTTATATTTATAAACTTTTTAAGGTCTACATTTGTGTGAACTCTTTTGTTATAATATTTTGCAGTTGTAATTTCCTCAATAAAGGGATTTTCTTTTCTATTCTTCTAACTAGTTTTATTTAAAGGTGCTGAATACAAATATATGCAACATATTTTCTAATTCGGCTTCATTTTCCTGACAGCATAGTTTCTTAATAGACATCTTATATCCATCCTGCTTTGCTTATCCCACCCTCCTCCGTGTAAAGTAAGACCACCACCTTACTGCTCCCTGACAACACTCCTGCCAGTGCTGAGTTAGAGCCAGTGTGCACTTGGAAGGCAAACCACCAGATGTCACCCACGCCTCAGTGCCTCCAAGCTGTGTCTTTATGAGGCTTAATGAATTTAGTGTCTTGGCTCTGTGTCACACTGGTTGCTCAGTGCACAACAACATGCTATGCATGAAATCAGTTTTGCACAAATTAAAAAGAGGGCCATAAGAAGCTTTATAATTCTGCTTCCTCTCCTGTTTTAAATGTGCTGTTGTTCCTCCTTTTTTTTGACTTGGCCATCATTCTTTTCGCCTCAAAGGGTCACTCTCCATCCTATGTGTGCAGCAGAGCATGAATGTGGAGCTCCGGATGTGCGACAGGCTTCCTGGGAGAGTGGGGGGTAATTCTGAAGGGTAGCAGAAGTAATAGGGTAATCTATTATACAGTCTAAGTCTTTCTTCCTCGTTCTCTTGCCCCCCTCCTCCTTTCCGTGCCTCAGTCTTTCAGCTTCTCGCTGCCTCTGCCCTTGCATCAGCATTTCACTAGGACAAATGAGAAGTAGAGTTTAACTATGCACATTCCCAGTGTCCTCCTGCAGAGCCCAGCACTTTCTCAATTAAACAGGAGTCCGCCTGCACCGCTGATTCAAGGATGCATCTCACATGCTCACAAAAACACACAGGGTTTTCAGTCCATAGGTGCATGCCTGCACCACAGTACTGTTTTATCATAAGGGAAAGAATCTGTCATGTAAAATTTCTGAAACATGCTTTCTTACACATGTTAACAGCAGAGACAACAAAACAGGGATGTGTGAAGGAGGAGGAAATTATGTAGAACTGATGGGAATAATCAACAGATTACTATCTAAGGAATGGAAAGGAAAACTGACCTTTTTTTGTTTTGTTTAATGATTTGAAATAATAAACTCTACATAAGTATTTTTTATCCTCTTAAATTTTTGTCTACATTTTTTGCTTGGTCAAAATTGCATTATTTTGTAATACAATTGATTGTTCTCTGTTTTCCTTTTTCATTAATCATATATTTGACTTTAATTATTGGTAAAAACCTTTATTTCTCTCATTATATTAACCATAAATACACTGATAAGACTATACACTATTGTCTAAAAATAGGTGCCTTGGAAAACACTGGTCTAAAAAAAAAAAAAAAACATTACAAAATTATGTTGCAGATTAATGCATAAAAAAGAAATAAGAATAGATTAACATAATATTTTTTTCATCCCTTTGTATAAAACAGAGATAAACAAAATAATTAAAATGGTACAAAAGATATATATATTTTTTAGAAATAGCTAAAAACGTGCCTGAATTATATAATATACTTTGTGTTCTTTACACTTTTGGTGTTTCCCACCTGAATGTTTCCATTCTGTATCTTTTCCAAAAAGTATTTCTGTTTTTTAATGTTCATCATCATCTGTTCCACCAATTAAAACCTCTCTATCCTCACCGTCTTCCTTTTTTATAACCCTTTCACCCACAACACTGACATTTTCTTTTCCATTTTGGACCCACCTCCCTGAGGTAGACAGAGCTCCCTCCTCCTCCTCCTCCTCCACCAGCGAGCACATGCTCATGCTGCTTCCATCTGATACCGACTGGATGCAGAGCAAAGATTTTCCAGCAGCTTCCCGAGTCTCTGCTCCCATCTCCATCCTCTCTTCATCCCCTTCTCCTGTAACATCTAAAGCTTATCCTGTTTCTTTTTCTTCCGCTTGTTCCCGAACAGGATGTGGCACTCTGTGGCTCTTCTCCTCTCTGGACTCTTCGCTTTGATCAATGGTGAGCCTGACTTCATCTCTCCTCCTTATTCATTCAGGTTTCTGGTATTTCATTGGAATATAGTAGTGTGGGGTATGTGTATTTTCATTTTTAGTTTATTTTCTATGTATTTAAAGAGAAACAAAGAAAGGCAAGAGTATTGCTCACCTGTTTGCTTGTCTATTGCCATGTAGAGAGTTCAGTTAGACTGATGTATTCTTGTTTGTCTGGAGACATATGTTCTCTGCCTAGATGATATATTCTATCAGGCAGACTGACACCACGACGACAGATGCAGTCTGCAGAAAGATCCCAGCTGTCAGAATATTTCATCATTCTAACATTTTCTTTATGACCACATTTGCACACACATCAAGCCCTCCTCCTCCTTGCGGGAAATCACATCAGTTTAATGACACATACAGATCAGCATCTTGCATCTCGCCTTCCTGTTGCTGCAGCTGAGAAACTGTGTGCGTTTCGGGCTGACGAGGGATGACAGAGCTGAGAGGCGGTCGGTGAACTTTCCCTACAGGCAAAAGAGTGGCAGCATTGAGATGGTGTTCGGTTTAAGTTTGCGACGAGACTGTAGATCAAACAGTGAACTGACATAAAAGACAGGAGGACATGTAAAAGTTTCAGACTGTGTTGCTGCAGACTGTGAAAAACTCTGAGGCATCCAGAGCTTTACCATCACTGTGAGCGGCTTTGAAGCAAACTGCCTGGAGTGTCCCTGATGTTCCTCTCACTTACTTTGTCATCCTTCTCCTTTTTTAATGCAGAAGTTTTTAAAATCACTCCCAAATTCTAAGTTTTGCTAGCAATAAACCTTCCCCCTCAAAAGTTGACAGAACGTTGTGAAGTTTGTGCTTGCAGATGAAAAAAAAATGGATGGATGAATGATCTATCTATCTATCTATCTATCTATCTATCTATCTATCTATCTATCTATCTATCTATCTATCTATCTATCTATCTATCTATCTA